CAGTGGTTGCGACCTTCTAATAATCGACACGTGATTTTCGAACAGGTTCTATTCTGTTCTGCCTGCAATGTTTTTGCAAACGAAGGCTGTACAAAATTACGGCGTGTTTCAAATACAATTGAAACGCGGAATCATTCCTGGTGACACGCTCTTCCTGACTGCCAACACATTCAGGTATATCAGAAAAAAAAAAAAAGCAATCGTGGTTGGCCTTGTTTGCTGCAACTACGCTTGTGAAACCTCGGTAAAGGCATATTGAAGTTCCTGGATAAGATTCACGCTTCGTCTTACAAGTATCCACCTTTCCAGCGCTTATCATCCAGGCGAAAAATGCCCAGCCAAGACACAGCTTACATACCTCTGTCAATTGGGAGTTTTAGAATGATCGTCAGGGGAGTCCCACAGGGCAGTGTTATAAGTCCTTTGCTCTTCTCTCTAGCCATATCCTCCCTACCCACAGCAGCCAAAGTAGGCGAAAAACCCAACTACCCAATCAACATGGCGGTATACGCGGATGATGTTGCGCTATGGGCGACGTCCTCAAGTCACTGAAGACAGACAATGGTGCGGGAAGTGCAGCGCGCAATCACGAACACCATCTACAGACTTGCACAACTTGGGCTTAACACATCTGGCGAAAAATCGGTCGCTATCTGTTATGCCCCAAGAATAATCAACAAGTTCAGGCCAAAGCTATTCATTGGCACGAAGCAGATCAATATCGAAACAACAGCAACGCATCTCGGGCTGAAAATTGACCAAAGGCTCACCTGGGGGCCAGCAGTGCAAGATGTCATCCTAGCAATGAAAAAACACACAAACATCCTCCGATCACTAGGAGGCAACACCTGGGGCACGTCACAGGCAATGATGCTCCAGATGTGTAGAGGACTAATTCTTGCACGGCCTCTCTACGCATTGCCCTTTGTTACACTCCGCCACACCCAACTCGAAAACATTGAAAGAGTGCAACGGGTGGCACTTCGTGTATGCTTGGGTGTCCCCCGCAGCGCGTCATCGCAACGTACACTAGTAGAGGCCAACATCAACACCGTCGCCAATGCACTACAGCAACAAGCCTTGACACATCTAGTACGGATGAACAACTGCTTCTCGACCACCGCATTGGCGAGAAGAATCGCGGCACGGGAAGATTCGGAAATTGGCAGACAAGCAGCCACACTTGTGGACATCGCGGGCCCACCGCCTATCATCCCCAAGCTCCCAACAGGACACGAAGAACCTGACCCGCTCCTCGTCGATCTCTACATCGAGGACCTGCGAAGCAAGAAAACTGCAGCGACTACCACTGCACGGCAGCTCGCCGAATACCACCTTGAGCGGCATTACGACGGCTGGACGCGCATCTTCACCGATGGCTCTGTAGACCCTACCGACAAGACGGCCACCGCGGCCGCGTACTTCCAAACAGAAGCGACCTGGCTCACGGAGAAACTCTTGTTTCACGCCTCATCGACGACCGCTGAGCTAGCCGCGATTGGCCTGGCTGTGCGCGGCATTATCGCAAAGAACACCGCAACAAGAAGGTGGGTCATCCTCAGCGACTCCCAGGCTGCACTTGCGCTGCTCGGGAGCCTTCATCGTGCTCCTCCACTTGCGCTGGTCGTGGCGAATAATGCCATAAGACTCAAACAACTAGGACATACTCTGGCATTCCAGTGGCTACCTAGTCACTGCGGCATCTCTGGAAACGAAATTGCCGACCAGCTTGCATCAGAAGCACACAAGGACCTCACATGCCCGACATCCGCGGTTACTCGCTTTGCAGACGCCAAGCTCCTTATACGGAGGAAGATAACCAGCTTGCACCCAGACCCAGGCATCGCGTCGGGGGAACGCCCAACCAGGATCCCATGTGGCTTAGACAGGGCGACGGTCGCCGTGCTGCACCGTCTCAGGACGGGAAGCGCATTCACCCCGGTTTGGCTGCACCGCCTCAGGAGTCACATCGACCCCAACTGTGAAGAATGCAGTGTACCGGCGGACGCAGCACACCTCCTGGCGCACTGCACGAGGCTGGATGACCAAAGAACAGAGCTCCGTGCAAGGTACACCGCCCTCGGATTACCTTGCAACACTGAGGAAGAAATGCTACGGCCAAGAGGACCCAGAGCAAACAACGAGAGGGCTCTGAGGCACTTTATTACTTTCTTAGGGGTCACTGGCTTACTAAACCTCCTGTAGTGCTACTAAACCTCCTGTAGTGAGATGAAAGGCCGAACAAAAACGAAAGCGCAGCACCATATAAACACAAGATTCTCAGCACACGAAGTCATTGTCGCACCCTCCTGCCGGATTTCCGAACCTCCAGAAAACTGCGTTGCCACAGGACACCTAGAGGGCACACGCCACGGCATCGGCACAGCTGACCTCTTCCTCTAGGATGAAGATAAATCACTATCATACCACCTTTCCAGCGGCTTGACGTTGAAGTGTTGGCGGTTCTATTGTTTTATTACGTATGGACATTGCACTTCTGAAATTTTTTTTTGACCTCTCACATCCTCTACTATACTATCTCTTTTTTACCCCTTTCCCTTCCCTTTGCAGGACGGTGACAAGAATGCGCACACTAGCGTCCTACCAACTGTCCTGCATCCTTTCCAAGAGTAATTAAAATACATTGCCAAACAAAGTTTTAGAATAGTGCACGCTAAAACTTTGCACACGCAAATAACGTCGTTGCCACTGCGCATGCGCCGAACGCTAACCACGTTTTGCGCTTTGCGTGCTCTATTTTAGCGTACGCTATTTCTCAGAAATTGCGTGCGTACGCAAAGAGTCTTTGCGCTTCTCCAAGTTGGATTCGTAATGAGACGATGGCTAAAGCCTAGACGAGTAGAGTTAAAAAACGGTGGCTCCCAGACCCATGGCTGTGGCCGCTTTGGCGACGTCGTGAGCGCGACGTCGGTGACATCCTCGTGAGTGCAAATTTTTAATACGGGACGACATTTCACTTGGTTTGGAAAACCAGGTGGGCCACGATCACCGGAAAATTGATGCTTGCGACTCTTGAACATTTCTCGGCGAAGGTACGGTGTGCGAAGGTCAGTACAAGAGACCTCCCTTGCCGAGGCGACGCAGGCGGACACGACCGGTGGATCGCCCACATCGCATGCTCAAGTTTAAACAAATATAAAGCGTTACTTTGGACCAAAAAAAAACTTGTTTTTTTTTTACAGGTTACAGCATTTCGTTTGTGAAATAAAAATTGTGATTATCTTGGTGGCGTTGCCATAGCGCGAGGTGCTTGGGCTTTTGCGTCGCGGCGGAGAAATGCTATTCTAAAACTGAATTGCGTAGCGTGCGCTAACGCAAGCACCAAATCTAGAGTAGCGTGCGCTAAAATGGCGTGCGTTATTCTAAAACTCCCTAATGGGCCTCCGACTAATCGGTCAGGCTCGACCCTTATATTAACGATGAACGGCGTCGCCAATAAACGCGCTAAAGTCGCGCTCGCACTGCTGCAGTACATCGTGCAAAAGACAATCTTCTGCGTCGCATTTCTTTCTTTCTTACGACGTCGTGTCAGCACCGAAGCCCGCGTGTTTTGCTCGATGTATGTGTAGTGTGTACGCGGCTTAACGGCGTTCGCGAGACTTCATAAGGTCGTAGTTCATAAAATAAAAATAGTAATAATCTTAGGCGGGTAATCAGGTAGCCGCGAGCTTATAGTTGATACGCTTTGTACGATTCGGAACTAAAGACTACGGTGTGAAAAAAAATTGCCAAACTCCAGCAATATCCTAGGCACAGCACGTGCTCTGAGCATAGATATGAGATACATTGGTCGACGGCAGAGCGCGTGACATTGTGTAGGGGTGTGAAGTTTAAAAGTCATTATGCAAACAGAAAGAGGAAAAAAACGACATGTCTCTATATCACACATAAAAAAAGATATATAAACAGAAAATAGCGGGTATGAACAAATGGTTTCATGCTAGCTCCAATTTTACAAAGGCCATTAATTATGTTTTCTTTCTTTTTCTCTCTTTCTTTCCTTCCCTCTTTCCCTATATTTCTTTATTGGTGCAGTGACGGGTGTGTCAGCTATGCTCTGAGCACTGCCTGCCCAGACAAGTGGTAAACATTGGCTTCGCAGCTCACAAAAAACAACAGCCAGCTTTTCCTGGTAACGAGGTGAGGATATGCTAGCGATATTCGATTTCTCGCTGTAATTTCTGTAAAATCCGGCTCCAAGAACAGGCGGTTGTCCTATGTAAATATAAAGATCGGTCATTACGTCTCGGAAATACATAGCGAAATTAGCTGAAGCCGCGTCCTTTTTAATTACAATCGGAAGGATGACGGAGGGGGAAGGGGGCGGGGGGGGGGGGGGGGGGGGGGGGGCGTTGGACGGAGTTCGGATATTTTAGTGATCGCGAGCCTGAAAAAAATCCCGCTGCTCTGAACTAAAATGTGGCAGTCAGTTATTTAGTCTGCATTATGCTCATATCTAAAACGGCACGCATGTGCACATAATTTTTTTTCAATACGATTTAATTTGCAAAATTTCATGATGTCGTGTCCTTTAATAATTTCTTTTGTGCACTTGGTCGATCACTAGATGTTTAGCCATGCACCCCTTGCGTGTCTTATAGAGCTATACACTCTTATTCGTCAAAGACAGTAGTTCTCAAAAAGGCAGGAAGAAATACAATGACAGCACATGCGTTCCGCTCACGGGGGGCAATGAAGTTAACGACTGCCACGTCTGTAAAATTATAATTTAAATTTTGATATAACTGAAATTTTCTTGATGGTAAGAGAATTCCCCCCTCAAAGCCTCAATGATTTTTTTTTTATAATGGGAAATAATTTTTTTATCTCCATATAAAAGTTAGTTGCACGTAGTATTTTTTTTTTTTTTGAAGTTCGCGTGCGAGTGGGACAGCGCAATTGAATACATTATGAGTTTATGAATGTTATGCTGTTCTAACAACGCTGGTGGGGCTTGCGGGAACGTTGTTTCATAGAACATGAAGGACTCGTGCAAGATGGAGATCGACAATCAACCGCTCGTCTATGTGGATGAAAAAATTGCAGCTGTGGCTCGGAAAGTTATCAAGCAACAGGTAGAGTGTAAAGCTTGTGTATCTGGAGAAACGAGGCCCACTAGCCAAATATTTTAGTGGAACTGTTACACACATTTAACGGTCAGTAAAAGATACTAGACTAACAATTATAAGATAAAAAAGGTGTTCTAAAGAGTGGTTCTTTCTTCGCAGACAACGGATGGCGCGTTTTTTGTTTGCGATGTGAGAGACTTGGACTACAAAGTGAAGTTATGGCACCAACAACTGCCTGAAATCACTCCGTTCTATGGTATGGTTCTTCAAAATATCGAGAATTACTTTTCATATGTATCTGTGGTGAAGTTAAGCGTGTAGCGTGTAATTAAATGTCAACAGCATTCTTTAAAAAAGACAAAATTTAAATTCATTTCTTTGTTATTTCCCTTTCGGGGTAACCTCACGTGTTGTGTTCGATTAATTTTTCAGCCGTGAAATGTTGCACTGATCCTGTGGTACTACAGACCCTCAATTCGTATGGAGTCAATTTTGACTGTTCAAACATGGTGAGTCAGACTTCGAATTTTATGTCAAGCTTATATTATTCAGGCAGTTTTCATTATTTTAATATAGAAACCCGAGATATTGATGATTTCAGTCTTAACACACACAAAGCCGTTCCTTGATCGTCACCTGACTCCCGGTAACTCTCACTTGGTGGACCCTGTGAGCTTGTTCATGCCAGCACATCTAGGACGCTGTGGCACCACAGAGACAAAGCAGTTGGAGCCTTATTAATTTTATGCTTTGCTTTTCAACATGCTCCAAGCGATCGTTCAGTTTAATAGATAATTAACAAAATCCTGATGTAATCATACGGACACTTTTCAAATACAAGGGATATAAGAATGCTGCGACGCTTCATAACACAAGTTTCAAAAAACTTTAGGGAGGTGGGAAGTTTTGCCCTACGCATCGAATTGAAAGGAAGTGGGGGACTAAAACACACACAGACACGCGCGCGCACACACATACATACATACACACACACACACACACACCTACATACATACACATACATGCATACATATATACATACATACATACATACATACATACATACATATATGCATACATACATACATACATACATACATACATACATGCATACATACATACATACATATCTATCTATATACATATAATCTTCAGCGAGAATCAACAAAGAGTAGTGCGTTTCGGCCGCGTCCACGCGTTTGTGCACCCATCTGTTGGCTATTTACTACACCTCCATCGCAAACCATCGTTTATGAATTTTTTTGAAATTTGCGCCGACCCTTCAGTTTTTGTGACGTGCAGTTTGCGGACTAAGAGCTTCGACTGCTTTAACTGGCCGTTGGAAGGCGCTTAAAAAAATCGTATCGGTCGCTACAGTGTTGTAGGCGTTGCGGAAAATAAAGTTACGAAATATCTCACCCGTTACTTGCAAATAAAAGGAACGCGTAATCGACCTACGTAAATTCGAAACAAAAGGAACGCGTTACCGCTACGGTTACTCATAAAAAAGTAAATCACATTACTTTTACGTTACTCTCTATTTATGAATAAAAACGTTTTAGTGTCTTAATGTTACAAGTATGCATAAGCGTCATATTTGCGTTTGCTTGGTGAAAAGAGGTATAATTGTAAATGTATGTGAAATCTGCGCAAGAATGACTTGGTGCCTAGAAGAACGAAAAGAAATTGAAGTGCAATGTTTCATGTCTTGGGGAGAAGGTGTAGCGTGTAACGTAACTAGGTACCCGTTACTCGAAATAAGTGACATCAGTAAGCTATCCGTTACTGTTCTCAAAGTATTTTACGACGTTACCGAAAAAGCAACGCGTTACCGATAACGCGGTTGCTTGTAACGTATTCCGTCAACACTGGTTGGCCACCAAATAATATTTTGGTTGATAATAATTTTTTTTTTCAAATTTGTCAGTGATACGCATCACGAGTATGAGTAAGGTGTTATTTTTTATTAGTGATATTTGTCTCTAAGTGAAGTTACTAATCCGCACACACACTGATACTGATAAAATATGCAGAGAGTGTAAAATCGCCGGGGACAAGGCGTAAAAATGCGAACGGGACAAACCCCGACTAAAATCTAAATTCTTACAAAAAACAAAAACAGTCCCGTGCAAATATTATCAAACCATACGGCGAGGACATGCAGCGAGAACACGCGGTTTTTGGTCCACACCTGCCACTGCGCTGCAAAGCTTGTGGTTGTTCACCTACATTGAACGGTGTGCAAGTGGCGGGGCGTAGAAAATGAAGGTTGGAAAGGGAGATGCTATAGAGGCGGCTCTGATACACAACTGCAATCAAGTCTCGAGTGTTAGAATCGCTTTTGTTCCTTTAATGAAAAAAGACTACGATTTTATCAGTTTGGTTTAGGCTTTTTGTGTTTCTTGGTTTGCGTAGAGTACAAGCAGTTTCCTTATTGCGGATTGTTTTTAATGCACTTTATGCGCTCTCCCTGTTATGTCAATCCGCTGTGTGGAGTACATGCATGGATCTTGACAACATTGCTTCCACTGCCGCCTTTAATCATGAAATTAACTTCGTATTAAAGCTGTAGCGTCTTTATTCATTAAGATAGATGTTCCATCGTGCGGTGGATTGTTCAGTAAACCTTTTAGCTGCAAGTTAGCGTCTGTCCTGCGGTTTGTATCTTGTGTGTCCCGTCTTTTATGCGCTACTCTTTTACCATGTATTTTATGTACCCCGTCCATATACCCTCGTTACCAGCCCCGCAACTAACATATTAGGTGAGCAGCGAAAAACGAAAAAAAAGGAAAGCAAGATATTACGAGTTGGGAGACGTAAAAGAAAAGTATAGAAGAGACAAAACAGGAATGAGAACCTTCAGGTGACGTGACGGGAACCAAATAATGTTTGTCCCGCATATCGGAAGTTTCGTCGTTGAATCTGGTGACTGCCACGTAGAACAGGTCTATGCGGAGGGCGAGTTCATCTGCTTCTTGCGCAGGGGTTGCGGTGACGTCAGAACGCCGAGCTCTGATTGGCTCGAGTGGAAAGATAGTGGGTCGACGAGACCCTCTATTTGAGCGTCGTCTGTTCCTTTGCAACATCGTCCGCTATTCAACAGCTGTCTTACTTATACGAGCGAGCTCGGCTTCGCCTTTCAGAGTGGACCGACGAAATAACTCGAGCGGTACGATGTGTTTTTGTCTAACGACTAGCAGACACGTATCAAGGAGCGAAGCCAAAGGACTCACGGGTGGGGTGGCCGACGCGCTGAGGTTTGTTTGCTAACGACCGAGAACGAGGGTGGTTAGCGTCCGCAAGTTCCCCTCTTTCGTGTGCGGCGTCGAGCGTATCGCCGAAGTTATGTCGTAGACTCGTTGACACCAAGAAGTCATTATTGTTTTTATTTTTGGCGAAATTTTATGGAAACTTATTTTTCTATTCCCTGTTATTTAAACAGACGAACACTTGCTTGGGGATAATCCGATGGACTTCAATTAGCCCTCTGTATTTGCTCAAGTCACTTTTTTCTAAGCTTACCGTTTTAACAGACAGGGATAAAAACACGCTGTTTTCTTCAGTGGAGCGCGCGTGCGGCCCCGGACATCTAAGGGCATCACAGACCTGTTATTGCTCTGTTTCGTGCGGCTAGGAGCCGCTTGTCCCTCTAAGGAGGGTGCAAGGTGCAGAGAACCACGCACCTATTTAATAGGCTGGAGTCTCGTTCGTTATCGGAATTAACCAGACAAATCGCTCCGACAACGAAGAAAGGACATGCACCACTATCCACCAAATCAAGAAAAAGCTGTCGATCTGTCAATCGTCCCAGAAATTTAAAATGAGACACACCGTCGTGAATGCGCCCATTACATCCGAAGACGCAGAACGTTTTCATATCTCCTGGTAACACTGCCCCTTGGACAGCGCCTGATCGGAGCCGTCCTCTTAACCACACAGAACAAAAGCGGAACGTTCTTTTCCTTTTTTTCTTTTTTTTTTTAACCAGCCACCACGCGAGGGACTCACGGCTAAAGCCACAGCTGTTACAGCACGTCCGCCATTGCCGAAGCCTAGATGTTTACATCCGCGACCCCCCCTCCCCGAGGAGGCGGAGCTTAGTATAACCTCCTCTCCCACGTTCACACCTCCTTTTCCATACGCAGAAAACCAAAATGCGCCCACTTGCAAGGCGCGTACCTTCTATTCATGCGAGAGCGTTATAAGTGTCCCATGGAGCGAAGCCGGCGTCATCTGTCCAGCGAAAACGGAACCTAAATTCCCATTGGCTGCGACGCGTCGTATCAGATGCTTCGTCACGCAAGCCAGCGGGGCCGCTCAAGGTCAAAGCGGACGCCCTTCAGGAATAAAACGCAAAGGAAAGCACAGCAACGCAGATGCATCGTCACGGAAGCCGTGGAGCCGGCGGAATCGCCGCGCCTGCGCAGTGGGAGAGCGGGATGTCACCGCCAGAGCGCCGTGTGAAAAAGGAAAGCGTGGCGCGCTGCTTGTAGGCATGCGCTGAGTGTAAAAATGCTTTCGAATTCCTACGCGTAATCAGTCTTAAGTGTCGCTGCCGAATTTTTGTATCGCATTATTTTCTATACTTTATTCCATCGTATATCCGACCGCAGTCGAAGGCACATAGAACACGACAAACACGCTAAAAGCGCAAGTCACCGGGTCTTCCTTGCCCATATTTGGTTTTGTGATGATAGAATATACGCAGAGCCGTGACGGACACCTTGACGTTGGGCTTCTGACGCTGTTCGATTGGCAAAAGCATAGCAATAGACCTTCTCTAAAGTTCCTCGATAAAAGCTGATTTCGTGTTTATTATAAGTAAAGCCATTCTTCAAAGCGCTGACTGCATGATGGTGCTGGATTTAGGAAGCGACTAGTGGCGCAAAACAGCAGAATGAACTGGAAGACACCATTTTGTTCCAATCCAATAAGCTTCGACGTGCGTGTCGGTTGTCATTACCTGTACAAGAAAGTATATACGGACTTCATCTTTGTCGAGTAGCGGGCGCCGTCTGGGGAGTTGTCCGAGAACTACGAATGAAAGACAGCTTACTGTGTTTCCGCCCGTCAGAACACATTGGCATCGTGTTGCTATACCGGTTTTTATTTCTTTATTTGCCTACGGATGCTAAAAAAAGCGTATTTTTCGCCTGCAACGTGCAAAGAAACGATAGCGATAGCTGTAACACGGGCGCGCAATGCGGGGGAATAGTTGGAGTTCCTGTATAGGCTCCCTACGGGAGTCAAATTTGCACGTTCTAGGGAGCCTTCATACACTTTCGCCACGTCCGTCTTAAGCCTAGTTCACATGCAGCGGTTTTGGCCCTAGAGCGGCGCGATTTCTGCCGTCGCGGCGCTCTGGCCAGCACCAGCAATTCTGCGGCACGAGCGCCGCGACGGCAGAAATCGCGCCTTTCTAGGGCCAAAACCGCTGCATGTGAAACACGCTTTGGGGTGGCGGCATCTCGGCCATTTCTATATCCAGAATGCACGCGCTTCGATCTCG